TAACAATATTTTATTAAACAAAAATTTGCTTTTAAATTAAAAATTATGAATTTTTATACATAGAGTTTCGGATTTTATGATACACAGGATATTGTCTCATATAATCCACAGAATGGATGTCCTCTTTGAATGTCAATGGCTTCAGTTCTTCGGTCGACATATCGCGAGCTTTGCTTTTAAGAGTAGGACTACAGGGGCTGTAAAGTACTTTTTGTCGATTCACTGTAATCCTGGTCTGCGGCCCATCTTTGGGACAAAGTGCTCCCGAAAACCCATCCCTAACGCTATATATTAGATATGAATTTTAATTATTCATATATTACTCAAATACAGTAATAAACAATTAATTATACTTTCGGTGAACGGAACTCATGTAATAGTATTCAATAATAGGTATTTCCAATTTATAGCCCCTATTATAACGATTTCTTTCGGATGCGTTATATCTCTTCCACTCCAAAGCTATTGAATGAATTTTCTCCACTTTGAAGTCAAATGTAAGCAAAATTGTGTGAACTTTTCGTTGAATTGTTTTTGTCATAATTCGTGTGAAATTCAATTCTCGCACTTCATTACCAACCGTTGCATTCATTACAATATTTAAATTCCCTGAAAATAAATTTTATATCAATTGAATGCATTTGCAAACAACTAAATACCTGTCGTTGAATCGGAATTATTTGAGATATGAAAACCCATCTGATAGTGATATACTGTAACCACAAATCTTATGTTTAGTCACATATTGTTATTGTATATAGAGTTGCCAACTGATCACGGGTTGCCTTGATTTGCAAGGTTAGAGGGTTTTGGTCAAGGTCAGAACAGCGCAGATTTTACTAAAATAAGTTTTTATCTAGACATTATTTTTGTTGTATTGTGATTAGTATACAATGTATCACAAATGCCATTACAATTGATTTTAAATATTGGCAAGAGTTCTCAAAATGAGTGAAAAATAGATGAGTGCCTTATCATTAAGAGAGCGATTGAGATTTGGAAAAATAATTTAACAGAATTTTACACATTTTAATTTAAATAGGTAATTCAACTAACTTAACTAATAACTTAACTATAATTCATTGAATTGACTCATAAATTAAAAACATGTTTGTAATTCTATGGGTAAATGAATTGTAAACCATGCAGTATGTATCAGCTTGTTGTTTTCAAAAATATTTGTCTCTATTTAAAAAATTTACTAGAGCATATTATGAACTTGATTTTAACAGTTAAATCTCAAAATAAGTATAAATTTAAAATGTAATTCTATCACATCTTTATAGAAAATACTTATTCAAGAGAACAATTTAAAACCAAGATCAGAATTTATTTTCTATATGTATGATGAAACACAACCCTTTTATAGGAAGAACCATTCTCATGAAACACTTTTATCTTCAAACAGTTCATTTCCTATATAAAAGTTGCTATGTATTACATTAAACTTAATGTTATAATTAAATTAAAAAGTTGTTTTAAATTTTTATCAATACTTATAAAATTATTTATAATCAAATACAGTATGCAGTAGTAATTGTGGTCAAGGTTTGGTTAGGGTGAATTCAGAATTTTAGATGTTTTAAGGCAACGTTTGATCAGAGTTGGCAACCCTATTGTTATATAAAATAGTTTATAAATACAGCAATAATCCTCTTTGGGTGCAGTGTTCACAAAGTATCGGCTGTCAATAGTTCGCGGATCAATTGGCTTATCGATCCAAAACTCTGGGTTTAGACCCATTGGTATAACAATATTTTATTAAACAAAAATTTGCTTTTAAATTAAAAATTATGAATTTTTATACATAGAGTTTCGGATTTTATGATACACAGGATATTGTCTCATATAATCCACAGAATGGATGTCCTCTTTAAATGTCAATGGCTTCAGTTCTTCGGTCGACATATCGCGAGCTTTGCTTTTAAGAGTAGGACTACAGGGGCTGTAAAGTACTTTTTGTCGATTCACTGTAATCCTGGTCTGCGGACCATCTTTGGGACAAAGTGCTCCCGAAAACCCATCCCTAACGCTATATATTAGATATGAATTTTAATTATTCATATATTACTCAAATACAGTAATCAACAATCAATTATACTTTTGGTGAACGGAACTCATGTAATAGTATTCAATGACAGGTATTTGCAATTTATAGCCCCTATTATAACGACTTCTTTCGGATGCGTTATATCTCTTCCACTCCAAAGCCAATGAATGGATTTTCTCCACTTTGAAGTCAAATGTAAGTAAAATTGTGTGAACTTTTCGTTGAATTGTTTTTGTCATAATTCGTGTGAAATTCAATTCTCGCACTTCATTACCAACCGTTGCATTCATGACAATATTTAAATTCCCTGAAAATAGATTTTATATCAATTGAAAGCATTTGCAAACAACTAAATACCTGTCGTTGAATCGGAATTGTTTGAGATATGAAAACCCATCTGATAGTGATATACTGTAACCACAATTCTTATTTTTAGTCACATATTGTTATTGTATATAGAGTTGCCAATTGATCACGGGTTGCCTTGATTTGCAAGGTTAGAGGGTTTTGGTCAAGGTCAGAACAACGCAGATTTTACTAAAATAAGTTTTTATTTAGACATTATTTTTGTTGTATTGTGATTACTAATCACTAATCAATGATTAGTATACAATGTATCACAAATGCCATTACAATTGATTTTAAATATTGTCAAGAGTTCTCAAAATGAGAGAAAAATAAATGAGTGCCCTATCAATGATAGGCTATCATTAAGAGAGCGATTGAGATTTGGAAAAATAATTTAACAGAATTTTACACATTTTAATTTAAATAGGTAATTCAACTAACTTAACTACACTTCATTGAATTGACTCATAAATTGAAAACATGTTTGTAATTCTATGGGTAAATAAATTGTAAACCATGCAGTATTTATCAGCTTGTTGTTTTCAAAAATATTTGTCTCTATTTAAAAAATTTACTAGAGCACATTATGAACTTGATTTTAACAGTTAAATCTCAAAATAAGTATAAATTTAAAATGTAATTCTATCACATCTTTATAGAAAATACTTATTCAAGAGAACAATTTAAAACCAAGCTTACTTGTTAGAATTTATTTTCTATGTGTATGATGAAACACAACCCTTTTATAAATAGAACCATTCACATGAAACACTTTTATCTTCAAACAGTTCATTTCCTATATAAAAGTTGATATGTATTACATTAAACTTAATGTTATAATTAAACTAAAAAGTTGTTTTAAATTTTTATCGATACTTATAAAATTATTTATAATCAAATACAGTATGCAGTAGTAATTGTAGTCAAGGTTTGGTTAGGGTGAATTCAGAATTTTAGATGTTTTAAGGCAACGTTTGATCAGAGTTGGCAACCCTATTGTTATATAAAATAGTTTATAAATACAGCAATAATCCTCTTTGGGTGCAGTGTTCACAAAGTATCGGCTGTCAATAGTTCGCGGATCAATTGGCTTATCGATCCAAAACTCTGGGTTTAGACCCATTGGTTGACATTTATTATCTTCACATGAGGCACATCTGCCCTCAAGAAATGCATCATAACTTTCACACTGATAGGCAATAGCACTGCAATCGTCCTCAGGTTTATCTAGATTTAAAGCAATATAGAAAATATAATCTATTTGATTTAGATAATACCAAGGTTATTCATTATTAAACAGGCCCTGGAATGCGAACACGTAATGTCTTCGCCCGATGTAATTGAACTCAATTTGTTGGTCACACTATCAGATACAGCACATCCCGGTTGCCAACTGCCTGAACGGCATTATATTAATTCAATTATATTTATTGACACACATTTCAAACGATACCTCCGTTGGGATAGAAGTCGAAGTGACCCAAAGTGTCGGCCGTTCCGAAGCCCTCAGTGTATGAGAGGGCGGCGTCCGTATGGATCACATCCACTATCTGTGCGTCCGAATGGTCTAAACGTAAAGCTGTGTTCTTGAAGTGAAAACCGACCCCTAATTTATAATTAAAATATAAGATATAAATATTATCCCATTATAATCATCACCGGCCGGATCGAGGGCTGTAATGCGGCCCACTTTTGGGTTATTCAGTCGTTTGCCGGCGTAACCCATTGTATGTCCGCCCAAACTGTGACCGATTAACCAAAACCTATCATTTGTTATCTTAAACGTATTGCACAAACTGTTGATAAAGAAACCAATCAGTGCTCCAACAACTCGGGTATTAGTAGCGGCCAAGTTATAAATTGGGGTTTTTGCTCCTAATTTGATCAAATTTAATTATTTAATTTAACAATTGTATACAACAATAAAATGGTAAACCTTTTTCCCAAATAACGACCACAACATTGAATTGATCGTTGCTTTTATAAAGTATAAAATCTTTCATATTCTGTAAACATTTATTTAAAAATCAAAATAACATTATTAAATATTTACCGTAATAATATAAAATAAATGAATGATTGAATACCTCTAACCACAGGGCATATCCGCTTTGAAATCCGTGGACAATGAATGCGGTTCTAAGGGAGGCGTTGAAAGTGCTGTACCGGAGTTGGGCTGCAGTGGCGTTATAGCTATAGTTTCTGGGGATCGTCCGCTGCTCTAAGGTATACATGTGAAACATCGGACTCATAGAGTCGGGTGACATCGGCAACAGTGGTATAGCGCGCGCCGACTCGTTGTATTCGGTGGGAGAAAAACAGCCGATATCTCGGAAACAACTCTTGCCTAACATATCCTGATATTCTGTAATTGAATTAAAATAATTTGAGACACGATTGCAATGAATGACTGATTTATGAATTGAATTCAAACGTTTAAATTTAACCAAGAATCCTCCAACTTTCGATTGGACCTCCGGTTCCGTGTCTGAGAATGTCTTCAACGACTTGTCAACGCTTGACTTCTCTGACTTGTCTTTCTTTATTTTAGACAATATATCTGTAAATCAAATTCATGTGAAATGTTATCATTAAACGTAAACATTTGTGTCATTAATAGTGATTAATACTTATTTTGCCGATCAGTGATTTCCTCGGTTTGGTGTCTGAGATGGAGGCCTCAGTGCTGTCCGAGTCTTCACTTTTGTCTATTTTGAAAGGACTGCCAAAAGGATTACTTCTTTTTTTGGTCGTCTTTATCGGCGAATGTGTTGTCGTTGTCGTCGTTTTTGTGTGAGTCGTTGATTCAGTGGTTGTTTTGTCCGATTGATTGTCTGACTCTAAAGACATGTCCTCCTTCTCGCCGTCCGAGTCCTCGGATTTGGTTGTTTTCTTTGTGGCAGACGTCTCAGTAGAGGCTGTGGTCTCGTCCGACTCGGCAGTAGTGGTGGCGGCTGTAGTAGAAGTGGTCGTATCGTCGGTAACCGTTTTCAAAGGTAACAGTTTTTTATATTTATTGAATATCGCGCCGCCGATTGCACTCAATTCTGGCGATTCTGTTGTCTCGATGTAAGCCTCAGTCGCCGCAAATGTCTTCAATGTCACGTCTCTATCGCCCTCTTTCTTCTTCAATATATCTGTTGATGAGTTTTAAAGTCATTATCAATATAATCAATATTACAGTTAAAGAGATAATTTTTAAATCATGCCAAACAACCCAAACAAACAATGTCTGCAACTTTTCACTCATTGTATTAATTCAAGTGTAAACGTGTTGAATAAAATTACAGTACTTCAAACATTTCCCAAATAAAATGTTATTAATTGTTGTCCCAATTAATACCCTTTTATACTAACAGTAATATTAAATAATACCTATTTTGAAACCTCATTCTTAATGCTACATTAAATTAAAAATTTTAATGATCATTTTTTGAATAAATAATCTATTGTGTAAATAATGGGATTATGAATAATACTTAAAAAAAACTAATAATTAGATGTATTACTTATTCTATCCATAAAAGATTCCTTGGGTTCGGAGTCGTCATCGGTTGTAACCACAGGTTTGGCACTACTTTTAGCGCCCAAACGTTTAAAACCGAAATATGATTTGGCGGTGGGTTTTGTGGTCAATTGTTTAGTGGATGTGGTCTGTGGTTGTTGTGTGACTTCGGGGGCCGACCGCGTGGTTGTGTCAGTGGTTGTGTCGTCACTATCAGCCGGCGCTGTGGCCGCGTTGGGCTCATCCTCTTCGTCGGGGTCTTTGCATTTACAGTTATGGACACTAACTGTTGATCACATTTAATAAATTGATTAAATATAATAATTAGTTTTATTAGAAGTCATTTCAAATGCATACCAATTAAAATGAAGGCTATTATTGATTTAAATTTCATGTTATTATAAAAGTACTGTTTACAAAGACATATTTGATTAGTTTTATTAAATACTCAAATTAAAAAGTCATATTAATTTTTATTTTGTAAAAATACATTAAAAATTAGTAAATAAATAAAACACAAATATTTAATGCTTTACAAAAGACAATTCAAACGATATACAATAATTTATTTTGTAAGTAACATATGTTTCGTCTACTTTTGTGTTAATTTTCGACAATTTTTAAAAATATAAATCTTGTCTATCGGTGACTGCTAGAAATATATAATTTAATTAAAATTTAATTAATTAATTAATAACAAAAAACAATATTTTGTAAGTAATGTACGATATTTAAAAATTACATTAGTAGAAATTAAAATTGTTATAACAATTATTTAGGTCTATACATAGAGTTTCTGATTTTATGAAACACAGGATATTGTCTCATATAATCCACAGAATGGATGTCCTCTTTGAATGTCAATGGCTTCAGTTCTTCGGTTGACATATCACGACATTTTTGCTTCAAATGCGGATTACAAGCGATATAATCGACTTTCTGTCTATTGGCCACTATTCGGGTCTCCGCACCATCTTTTGGACAAAACACGGCCGAAGACTCGTCTCTAATGCTATGCATAACACAATATAACATTCATCGTTATTAATATTGAGACATCAAATTAAACTAAAAACATTTCAAAACTGTTATCTAACTGTTATGGTGTATGTGTTTCCTCTGTACCTCTCGTTCATAGAACTCATGTAATAGATTTCAATGACAGGTATTTGCAATTTATAGCCCCTATTATAACGACTTCTTTCGGATGCGTTATATCTCTTCCACTCCAAAGCTATTGAATGGATTTTCTCCACTTTGAAGTCAAATGTAAGCAAAATTGTGTGAACTTTTCGTTGAACAATTTATAGCCCCTATTATAACGATTTCTTTCGGATGCGTTATATCTCTTCCACTCCAAAGCTATTGAATGAATTTTCTCCACTTTGAAGTCAAATGTAAGCAAAATTGTGTGAACTTTTCGTTGAATTGTTTTTGTCATAATTCGTGTGAAATTCAATTCTCGCACTTCATTACCAACCGTTGCATTCATTACAATATTTAAATTCCCTGAAAATAGATTTTATATTAATTGAAAGTATTTTGCAAACAACTAAATACCTGTCGTTGAATCGGAATTGTTTGAGATATGAAACCCCATCTGATAGTGATATACTGTTTTAATGTTCATTCGTTAATAATTCAATAATTAGTTGATTCGCTAATTAATAGAAAAACAATTACAGCAATATTCCTCTTTGGGTCCAGTATTAACAAAGTATCGACTGTCAACTGTCCGTTCGTCCATTTTCTTGTCGATCCAATAATCCGGGTTTAGACCCATTGGTTGGCATTTATAATCAGCACAGTTAGCGCACCGGCCCTCTAGAAATGCATCATAACTTTCGCATTGATAGGCAACAGCAATGCAGTCGTCCTCAGGTTTTTCTAGATTTCTAACATTTTAGTAAATAGAATCAACAAATCGTACAATACCAAGGTTATTCATTATTAAACAGGCCCTGGAGTGCGAACAAGTAATGTCTTCGCCCGATGTAATTGAACTCAATTTGTTGGTCACACTATCAGATACAGCACATCCCGGTTGCCAACTGCCT